ACCACGCGCTGTCATAGCTTCCTCTTGCCTTACTCTGAGGACAGCATTTCCTTGGTGGGCTCTGGCTGTGGGAGTCACCGGTAGTGTGCTGCTTACCTCAGTGCTCTGCAGGGTCTCTGCTCTGTGGGCTCTCCATGGAAAATATTTTTCCAGCTATCTCCAGGGAATGTGGTATTTCCATTTTTGTCCCTCCCTTATATCTTCCTGTGGCTAAAATCAGCATTCCTTCTTCTTCCTATTATTGTCAGTTATTCCTTGTCAGTTTCAGCAGATTCAGCAATGAGGTTTTATTTTTGGGAGACTTTTCATTACTGATTCAATCTCATTACTTCTTATTAGCCTGTTCCAAGTTTCCACATTTTCATGGTTCAGTAAGTTATTTGTATCCAGAAATGATTACATTTCTTCCAGGTATTCCAGTTTATTGACACTTCCTAATAGTCCTTCCTATTCCTGCGGTGTAAGTTGCAATATCTGCATATTCATCTCATTTTGAGTCTTTATTTTTTTCCTGGTCTCGCTAAATATTCATTGATTTTGTTCTTTAAAATCAACTTTCCATTGATCTTTTGAAATTTTTAGTTCCTGTTTCATTTACTTGTGCAGTGTTATTTATTATTTCTTTCATCTTTAAGGTGGGTTTTTTGTTTGCTCTGAGTTTTTTAGATTTAGGAGATGCATTGTTACGTTGTCTATTTGAAGTCTATTTTTATGTAGTTACTGCTATGATTTTCCATCTTTTCTCCTTTTTCAGTATCTCTCTTAGTTTTGGTATGTTGTTTTATATCTTCATTTCTCTCAAGTCATTTTAAAATTTCCCTTTTGATTTCTTAAAAGACCTATTGTTTATTCATAATGTGTTACTCAATCTCCATGTATTTGTATAGTTCCTAGAATTTCATTTGTCATTAACATTTAGTTTTATTCCATTATGATCACAAAAGTGGTTGATATGCTTCAGTGTTTTCGAATTGGTGGAGACTTGCTTTGTGGTCTATCCCAGAGATTGTTCCATGTGCTAATAAAAGGAATGTATACTCTAGTTATTCATTGGAATGCTGTGCTAATGTCTTAGGTCTGTTTAGTCTATGGTGTAGTTTAACTCTGACATTTTTTCTACTCTTTTTAAAATCTGGATGATCTCTGCATTAATGAAAGTGGGTTGTTGAAGTCATTTATTGTGTTGGTTCCTATTTTTCTCTTTAGATCTAATAATGTTTTATTAAACTGAGCAACAGGCATAAAGTGTACATACATGCATCTTGCTTTTTAAAAGATTTATTTGAAATACAGAGTGAGACTCATGCATGTATGCACACACCGACAGAAAGAACAAATGCAAACAAGCACATGAGAGAGATCTACCTACTGGTCTACCTCACTGTTGCTCACAATAGCCAGGGCTAGAGAAGGCAAAAGCTAGGAGCCAGGAACCCAGGTATCCTATATATTCCATGTGGGTAGTAGGAACCCAAGTACCTGAGCCATCACCCACTGCTTTTCAAGCAGATTAACATGGAGCTGGATTGGATGTGGAATAACCAGGACTTGAACCAGTAATCTATCATGGGATGTGGGTGCCCAAAGCACCAGCTTAGCTTATTACACCAAAATGCCTGCCCCATATCTGCTTGTTGAATTAATCCCTGAGTCATTAATAACTTACTTTTTCTGTTCACAGTTGTTCTGTTAAAATCTGTTTTGTCTGATGCAAGTGTAACTTTTCCTTTTTGTGTTTGGTTTCTGTTTATATGCAATATTTTCTCCCATCTTTTTTGCTTTTAGTATGTATGAGTGCCTATTGATGAAGTGTATTTCTGCATGCAGCATTAGTGTTTTCATCTTTTAACTCATTCATCCATTTTGCATCTTTTTTAAGATTTATTATTTTTTTTTAAGGAAAGTTAGATTCACAGGGAGAGATGTAGAGACAGAGAGAAAATTATTCCATCTGCTAGTTCATTTCTCAAGTGGCCATAATGCCTGGAACTGAGTTGATCTGAAGCCAAGACCTTCAGCCAGGAGACAGGAGCTAACTCTGGATCTCCCATGCAGGTGCCAGGTCCCAAGGCTTTGGGCCATCCTTCATTGCTTTTCCTAGCCACAAGAAGAGAGCTGGAATGGAAGGTAGCTGTGATACAAGCTGGCACCCATATGAGATCCTGGTACATCTAAGGCGAGAACTTTGGCCACTAGGTTACTGCATTGGGCCCCAGTCTGCATCTTTTAATTGAGGAATTTAGCCTATTTATAGTCAGAGATAATCAGTAGCAAGTAATGATTTAACACTAAGTTAAAACAAGTTCTTTTGTGTATTTTGAATGTACTTTTTCTGTCGGTTTTCTGTATTGCATTTTATAAAGATTTTACTTATTTATTTGCAAGGCAAGGCAATGGAGAGGTAGAGGGAATTTTCCATCTTGTGGTTCACTCCGAAAATGGGTGTAACTGCCAGGCCTGAACCAGGTGGAAGCCATGAGCCAGGAACAACAGCCTGGTCTCCAACACAGGTGGTAGGAGCCCAAGTACTTCTGGCATGACCCAGTGCTTTTGCAGGCACATTAGCAGGAACTTGGATGGAAAGTGGAATAGCTATTGCTCAAATTGGAACTCTGATGGGCAATAGGACGTGAGAAGTTGTGGCATAACCTCTGGGATTACATTATTGGTTTCCTGTCATGGATTTTATCCTGTCATATGTTTTCATAATTGCTGTTGTACTTCATTTGCTTTTACATAGAGGCTTCCCCTAAATATATTTTCAAAGGCTGATCGGTGATGATATATTCCATCAACTTTTGCTTTCTTGCAAATTTTTTGTTTCTCCTTAATTTCTGAAACACAACTTCCCTCAGTAAAATACTCTTCATAGGTAGTCATTTACTTTCAGAATTAGGAATACACTCTTTTATTCCTTCCTGGCCAGTAAGATATCTGCTGAATGTTATCTGTTATTATAATAGTTTGCTTCAAATGTGATTTGGAACTTTGCCCTTGTAAATCTTAGACTTCTTTCTTTAAATTGTGCTTGTGAGAGTTTGACTATGATGTGTTGTAGTTCAGAATCTTTCTGATTATGTCTATTTAGGGCCTTGTGGACTTCTTGTGGGTGGATGTCCATGCCTTTCTGCATATTCTGGAAGTTTCTAACTATTGCATCATTGGATAGGTTCCTAAGCCAGAATTCCTCTTTTTTGCCCTCAAGAATCTTCACAAATTGAACATCTGTTCAATAGTGTTCCAAACTTCTTAGAGGCTGTCTTTATTCTCACTTAATGAGAGAAGGTGTTTTGAACAGATGAAGCAAAACAGAAATAAAATCTATGAGATATAGTTTCTGCTGATCTTTGTTGGTGAAGTGTGTCTCCTGTAGGCAACAAATAGATGGGTTTTGCTTTTTAATCCAGTCTACTAATCTATGATGTTTGATTGATGAGTTTAATCCATTTACATTCAGGGTTAATATGAATGAGTGGTAATTTGGTTCTGTCATTTTAGCAAAGGGACTGTTCATTGATTTAGTCTTCTGTTGTCATTTTACTGGGATGTTCTTCACATTTGCCTTTGGTTTTGGTGGGTGCTATTCCTTTTCTCTGTCAAGAGAACATCTTTAAGTGCCCTTTGTAGGGCAGGTTTGGAAGAGGCATAATCTTAACTTTTCTTTACTGTGGAAGAATTTTATTTGATTTTCAAAGACAAAGGAAAGTTTTGCTGGTTACGTTTCCTGGGCCCATAATCTATCTGTTCTTCACCCACTATTCCTAGCCAGTAGTAACCACTATTCTGCAGTTGGATCAACTTTGTTTTCAAAAAAGCCTTCACGTGAGAGAGAACATGTGATGTTTGTCTTTCCATATCTGGCTTATTTCACTTAACAATCTCTAGTTTTATCCATTTAGCTGTAAATGTCTGGATTTTACTTTTTAAAAATGGCATTCTATCAGTCATATGTACCACATTTTCTTTGCCTCGTCAGTTATCGGTGGACTTTTGGGTTAATGCCATGTCTTGGCTGTTGTGAGTAGGGCTTCAGGGAAGTAGGCTGCTTTTCTGAATGTCTGACAGATGCTAAACATGCTTTTGGTATTATAGTACAAAGCTAAGCCGTTCATGGCATAGATGTTAGTAGTTTATACCTGGGTTGAGATTGTAGTTGGCTTCATTGTATATTAACCATTTCTTATATATTTGGGGGGGTACCTACCTTATCTTGCTTGTTGCTTCTTTTTCCATGCTGTGAAGGAATTAGATAATGTATCAAATTCAGAGTTGTGGTCTACACTAGCCAACAGAAAACTAATTAGGTAAATGGCTCTGAGCCTGAAAAGCCAACAATTATTTCAAGCGCTCTTCACTCCTGGTCTTCTCTCAAAGCCTCTGGCACCTCTTGTGTCGGAGATCTCCTCGAGCTTCTTCTGTGTATGTGAGGAAATCCTGTTCCTAGGATGCAAGGAGCTAAGCATCTCTGCTGCCATGATTTTGTATTTAAATATCCTAATGTCAGTATTTCAGCAGTGAAATGCAAAGCTGATTGCTCAGAATTATTACAATAAAAAAGATTACAATAATCTTTTATATAATTTAGCACGTTGTCAAACAGACTTTGAATGCAGCTGTTAAAATATTAAAACTAAATTATATTAAATTAGAACTAAACAAAACCAGGTTACTTTAAAAGTTGTATGAGTGGAAAATTGCTTTATGCTTAAGGCACCATTGATATTTTTAAGAAAAGGTTATTTTAAAAACCACCTGCTCTGACTCCATCCGATATTGGGAAACTAAGGATTTGGAGATGTGAATTTTGAATCTTGTCTGCAGTCACTAGTTATCCAGGGATTCAGCACTCTGAAGCTAGTTCTTGGTTTCTGATTCCTCTGTTTACTATGAAGATACCTGTCCCAAGTTTTAACAAAATCTTTGGTCAGAATTCATTGTGCTTATTTTTATAACTATGCTGCAAAACAAAGGCTTATTTTGATAGTGTCTATCATTTTTAGGTTGAACATGAGAAATATTATGACCGATATCACTTTGCTCAGGAGCAGCGAAGGATCCTGATGTCAAATTGGCATAAGCATAGGGAAGACTTTATACAGAAGGCTCTGCTGACCCTTGCTGAGGCCTGTGTAGCTTATGAAATGGAAAGCAGCTTGGTGAAAGACAGAAAAAAGCAACAAGAGTTGTGTGCTGATCTGAAAGCCAAGGTAAGATGCTTCACAGAAGATATTTTAATATTTATCTGGGTATTCATTGAAAAATGAATTTCTTCCTTGTTTATATATAACCTAAAAATCAGTTTCCCTACAAAGGTTATCTTGAATAAAGTAGTTTAGACAACTTGAAATTGTCTTTCTTTTCAATCAAAAATAGTCAACAATTTATTTCATTGGCCTTAACCTAAAGTTATTATGACAGGATGTTAATATTGAAGTTTTAATAAAGACATCTGACATCATCTATACATACTGAGCACCAGAGAAAGGTGCTAGCCTCAAATCTAGAACCAATTGTCAAATATCTGACATTGGTACAAAGCTTCTTAGATCTCACACATCAGTGAGCTGTAAGAGGTAAAGACTTGCAAGTGGAAAAAAGTTTTGCATGGAGATGTGTTGGGGCATATTGCTAGACTATGTGCAAGTGAGTGCTCAGCAAAACGTAGTTAAGTAAATGAATTTTTCTTCTTCCTTAGACTCAATAAAGGTGACTAGAGGATGGTTTGGAAAAATTTGTGGGTAGCCCACAGGGAATAGAGAGGAGCTGCCTCCATGGCAGGTCTGCAACTTAGAACAGCTGCTATGTTGCGAGCAACTGAATCTTTCAGACCTGTCACAGGTGTCTAAGCGCTAGAGGCTTGATGTAGATCTGGTCTCCCTAGGAGTGTTGGCAGAGGCCACTGAAAACAAATTGTATTGATATAATATCTGTGTGTGTGTCTCTGTGTGTTTGTGTATAAATGTATATATTTGTGGAAAACACACATCTTGATTTATTGACAAATAATGTAGTGTAAGATTGATGGTAGAATAAGACATTTTGGTGGGGTTTTTTTATGTAGAAAAAGTATCTTGGTAAGCAAAATGTGATATCAGTAATTAGCATTTAAAAACACAATGTCTGTTTGAAAACATTAGTGGGAAAAATGCCCTCTCTGCATTTCTTTCTTTTTTTTTTTTCTTTAATTGTTTCCATTGCATGAGCATGGAACCTAATGGGAATAGAAGCTACATCAAAGTTGATCTACTTAGAGTTAATTCATGTTTCATATCCATCTTCAAGTTGACCACAAACCCAGGGTCAGGGGCTATGACATGTCCTCATACTGTATTCCTGTTCTGTGCTTACTCAATTTGCACGCATTATCATTAGCTCTTGAGCTATGCTGCTAAATTTTCTGTGTATTGTATTGCATTAAGTTAAACCTACATGCAGTTAATAGTACAATATGCTATTGGGATGACGCTTTGGTGATTACCTCCAAGTGAACACCACCGAGACTAAGATATAGAACATTGCCTGCAACGCAGGAAGCTTCCTCATGGATCTTCTCAGTATACACTACCCCCAACCTATAATAACTCTTCCGAATTCATCACTTTAGATGAACTTTTTCTATACAGAACTTCAAGCAGAGCAAGTTATAAGTGTATGCTCTTTTGTATTTCTTGCATTCATTGTACCTGTTTCATCCTTGTTGCATGTTATTTATCATTTGGTTTTTATATAATATTTGATTATAATATATACCACATATACCACAATACATGTGTATGGTTTCCTGTTGATGACTACTTGATTGATCTCAGACTTGCTATCATGATGTAATGGTGATGATGCTGTGAAAATTTACGAACTTGTCTACCAATTTCTGTTGAATAGTTAAAACAGAATACTGGGTTATGAAGATTCAAGTGCTTTTAACATTTGTAAACACAGAAATATTTTTCCAAAGGGTCGTGCAAGCTTAAAAGCAGTTTCAATTGCTTCACATCTTTACCAACTGTGGAACTGCCAATATTTAATTTTATTTTGGTGACCTGAGTATTGGTATTTTATTACAGTTTTAGTTTATATTTAAATATGCCATGCACATTTTCACATGTTCATTATCCATTTGAATATCTTTAAAATGTACACAAACTCTGGCTCTGCCTGTGGCAGTTCTTCTGAGGAAATTCTTGCCCTTTTCCTAAGAGAAGAGGGATTTTCTGTTTCCTTCCTCCAGCTGCAGGGGGTCTTCAGTTGTGCTCCAATAGCTCTTGTTGCTTTTCTTCAGCAGATAGAGGCTCTTGTTGCTATCTCAAAGATCTGAGCATCCATAGAAAGACTTCTCTTCCTACACTTACCATGCTCTTTCTCTTAGCACCTCAAGAGGTCTGTGGAGGAAATCTATGAGTGCGAAAGTCACTTTCAATCTGTGGCTCCCATGGGTTTTATACCCCTAAGTTCTTATAAATTGTTACAGTAATAGGAATCAATAAATTAGAATGACTTGCACAAAGCTTCAGCTGTCATCTTTCCATTCACTTTGTTAGTGACCTTGCCTTCCCAGGTGTTCTGCCACAGGTAAGCTAGTCTTCATATTGTATCTTTAAAAAATTATTATTTTATTATTTTCATTTTCTGATAGTTTCATAGGCCATGGGATTTTCGTTCCTTCCTTCCCAAACTCCCTACCCCTGCTTATTGAGTTCCACTATATTATTACTGTAGTATATAGTTCTTCATAGACAGTCATATGTCCATCATTGCAGGCATGGACAACGGCAGAGAGTCCAGCATCCTATTGTTAAGATATAGTTAACAGTTTCATTGGGAGTCCAACTTTGCTCTGGAAAAAGAGATGCAAACTGCATTGTATCTTTATATCTGGATATGATAGTATCCATGACACAGTTACTATACATCCCCTAAAATGAAGACCCACAATAGAAAATCAACAGAAGAAAGAAGAAATTAACAATGTCATGGAGTTAAATAACATGCTGCTGAATGACTAATGTGTCACTGAAGAAATAAGAAAATCAAGAATCTTCTTGAAGAAAATAATGCTGCTGTATGATCTATGAGTCAATGTAGAGTTTAATGAGAGAAGGTGTTTTGAACAGATGAAGCAAAAAAAATCTATGAGATATAGTTTCTACTGATCTTTGTTGGTGAGATGTGTCTACTGTAGGCAATAAATAGATGGGTTTTGTTTTTTTAATCCAGTCTACTAATCTACAATGTTTAATTGATGAATTTAATCCATTTACATTCAGGGTTATGAATGTATTTATATGAATGGGTAATAATTTGGTCCTCTCATTTTAGTAATGGGTTGTTAATTGATTTAGTCTTCTGTTGTCATTTTACTGGGATGTTCTTCACATTTGCCTTTGGTTTTGGTGGGTGCTATTCCTTCTCTCTGTCAAGAGAACATCTTTAAGTGTCCTTTGTAGGGCAGGTTTGGAAGAGGCATATTCTTTTAACTTTTCTTTACTGTAGAAGAATTTTATTTCATTTTCAAAGACAAAGGAAAGCTTTGCTGGGTATGTTCTTCTGTGCTAACAATGTTTTGCTTTTAAAATCTGGAATATGTCACTTCATTCTTTACTGGCCTGTAGATTTTCCTGTGAGAGATCTCCTGTAAGTTTAATTGGCATTATTTTATGTCTATTGTTTTTTCTTCACATGCACATTTAAGAATCTTTTCCTTATGTTCAATTGAAGAGAGCTTGATTATCATGTATCGTGGTGAAGATTGCTTTTGGTCAACCTTGTTGGGAGTTCTGTGTTCCTCCTGGATGTTGTTTCCCAATTCTTTCTCTAGATTAGGGAAATTTTCCCTTATTGTTTCATATACCTATTTTAGTTTGACCCAGCTCTGCTTCCAGCTTTTTGTTTGCTTCCCCCTGGTGACAGGAAATATCTTCCAATTCTGAGATTCTTTCTTCTGCCTCCTTCATTTTATTTTGGAGACTCTTCACTGCACTTTTAGTTTGCTCCACTGTATTGTTAATTTTTGATTTATCAGCTTTCATTTGATTCATTTCCAGTGTGACATATTCCTTAAATTTCTTGAACTCCTGTATTACATGCTTCTCTTTGTTGATAAGAAGCTTTATAACAAGTGTTTTGAATTTTGTATCCCCCATTTTCTTGATGTCTTCCTCAGTGAACTCTGAGGTTGGCAAAGGCTTTTGCTCCTTTGCAGGGGAGTCTTCAGTAATATTCATTGTGCCTCTGTCTCTTCTTTTGCTCTTGGTCATTGTACTTCTGGTTAGCAGATTCTTTTCCTTGGGGAAGTTTTCTAAGCTCTATCACCAACATCTCTTCAATTCGTTTTTACTTATTGCAGTTGGTACACAGCTCTTTGTTTGTAGTCAGTTGTGCCACTCCCTCCAGCAAGTTCCAGGTGTGGATTCTTACGTTAGATTTTCATCATGGTCTCAGTAGCCCCAGCTCCTGGCTCACTACTCTCCATCTCCTGTGATCCCATGCTGAAGCTGTATTGTTGTCTGTACAACTTTTCTCCCACTTCAGTTGGAGCACGTGCCAGGACTAGGGAGACACCAGGTGTCCTGTCTAGTAGGTTGTTGTTGGTACTGATCTTGCCAGAACCTATTGGCCGTTAGGTCTGAGGACCACCGGACCTATTTTGACCCATATGATGCCATATGCAGTATTATTTTTCTGTGGAACCAGTGCAGTGCACTGAGCTCAGTGAGTTCTTTCTAGCTCACCACATGCACAGCTCACTGTTGTCTCTGCTGTTTCAATGCCTTTTCCACACTGTACAAAATGGCACTTAATGTACTACTACTAGAGTTCTTGATCTGCTGGCTGTCAAGTCTGAGGGCTACCCAGACTTGTCTTGGTTGAAACCTGTAGAATGCTACGTTGTTGTAGTTCGCTGAGTGAGAAATGAGATCACTACCAGCTCATTGAATGCTCAGTCTTGTCTATAGCTTTTTCGCTCTAGAAAAAATGGCACCTGATTCAGCTCTAGGGGGCTGACTGGACTGTGAAATCCACCCTGTTCCTGCATTGCCCATCTAGGACCTGCTGCTCTGTCTCTGCTCCTGGTCAAACAGACCAGCAGGATGGGCAATTCCTTGTCTGAGTTCATCTCCTGACCTGGTCAACATCCCTTCCCCTCCTTGTTGCTCTTGGAGTTCTGCCTGCTAGTGCAAATTAGATCACCCTTTGCTGATTGCCACCT